TGATGACAAACTTTACACGAGTCTTTCAGCCAATACCATCATGGCTATACTGACCAATCACGTTCAACGGACCAGACTTATAAGATCATCGACTGACAACACTATTCACTTAACTCTGGAGATGACTTCCGCTCAGGTTGTCGAAACGTCAGTCACCAACAACAGTTCTTTTCAGAACTCCACTCACCCGGACGATCACACTATACGAACTAAGGATATTGATAGTTAGCACATTTGGTAGGACGTTTTCCTAACACAAATCGCTGCTTAGCAGCACTTCATTGTGTCTGCGTAATAATAATGGTAATAATAATAATAATAATAATAATAATAATAATAAAATTTTATAGCGCCATTTCCCAATGAGCTACAATGGTTCAATGGCGCTTTACAATAAATTGAATCTATAAAAAATACCTACTGTGATAAATTAAGAAAGTTAAAAAAAACAGGTAATAAAAAATTCAACTGGTTAAGGGACCAGTCATTATTTATCGACTGAGGGGGAGGGTTTTGGGCGGGAATCATTTGATTTTTAGCATAACGGAAGTGGGGATCAGTCATAACTGAGAGCCAAAAAAGGGGGAACCGCTAAATGTCACATGCCCATACAGACTTGGTGGACGGTTATTTGGCACTGTAAAAAGTAACCTTGCATTTTCCAAGCACTTGGCATGATTAGATTGCTGGTATGTCAACTGACATGGTCACAGGGTTCTCAGTAGAAGGGCGGAATTCTACCGGCTGTAAAATCGAATGTAGCGACCTCTTCCGGTTATTAAAATTTATTTTGCACTCATATAACAATAAATTAAGAAAATGTTATTCAAAAAGGAGGAACAGCGCTACTTGCTACGTCTAATTTAATGATCATAAACAACTCATTTTCCGTAACACTTTGCACCCCAAAATGCATGAAATCGCATCTTTGACAATCTACAATTTCAAAATTTTCAGGAGAGCATGCCTCGGACCCCCTAGGTTGGTTTGCCTCTTCGGGCCTCGCTTTAATTTACGCTGCTTGTTATGTTTTATTGGACGCCTGTGAAAACTTCTGCTAAGAACCCTGATCAGATATTGGGATCCAGACTAGCAAAAGACACGGATCAAGGGACTGCACCATGGCGGCTTCATTACACTGTAAGTACATCATAGTTAGAAATATTATATTCATATGATCGTTAAAAGCACTAAATATATACGTCGAAAGGTGAATATGTGTGCGAAGACAAGGGGGGAGCATCACGAAATTTATCAAGAGTTATGAGGGGGATCACTTCAATAAAATAACATTTAAAAGGGGGATCAGCTAAATGTTATTGTCTTTAGCCGAAAATTCTCCGACACCCCCTTGGCGATAAATAATGACCGATTCCTAAAAAGCCACGTTCTCAGTTTACTTTTTAAAATATTCGTGGAAGACGAGTCTTTAATCTCTAGTGGGAATACGTTCCACATAGTTGGAGCCGACACCACAAATGGAAACCATCTCTTATGGTTCATGTCGGAGGTGTAAAAAGCTTAAGGTAAAACTACTCCTGCGCAAAACTGCCTCGCACCGCCAGAGTGGGTATCGTCTTATTATTCCGACTTGGAATATTGCCACTCCCCCCGGATAGGATGCTACTCTATTGCTTTTCCAAGCATTATGTCGACAGTAGCCATCTATACTGCTAGATGGAGAAAGAGCCCTTTCAGAGGTAAGCACTTGTTCAGGAAGAAAACACATAGTCGACGGCCAACGATGGAATCTGGATCTCTTAGAACGGTTTAACCATTATGTCACCCAGTCGACCATCCCCCGCCTCCACCCTGTATTATTCCTCTAGACCTGAGAACATCTTTCAGACCAAGGCATGTGATTACCACTAGCTTATTTCAAACCGGTTTAAAAGCTCCTTATTGTCTCTTCAAGATTATGTCTGCTATTTGCGAGCGGGAGGTCTGTATCTTGAGTACCGCCCGAAACATACGCTGGGTGTCGATTCAAGGCCAAAGACGACGTTGTTCATTACATGGAATTACCAAGGCCAGAAATAGCATTTTTTTTATTTATTTAGTATTATTATTATTTTAATTAAACTGCCAAAATTAATTGCGAAATCGCGAAAATAGGCAGAGCAAAAAAAAAAAATACATATTCAAATGACAGCGAATTAATGATCAAGACTGCGGACAAAAGTTAGTCGCTCTGATGCAAATTTAGCTGTTATTATCTAAAACCTGTCTTTTCACTCCCGTGTTTTTTTTTGTTGTTGTTGTTGTGTTTTTTTTGACATTTTCAAAGCTCTTCACAGATTAAAACAGAGAACCAAAACCGAGCGGTCCGTAACCCTGAGTCTGTATTCCTGAAAAACCCCTTGCGTGACTAGCCAATCAGATCATGAGATTCAGGATTGCAGAACGCTGAGACGCTTGAGAAAAAGGGAGCTCGCTGATGGGAAAGGAATAGCAAGACTGAAATTAGAAATGTTAATTTAACTTAAATATTTGTAACAATACTAGCTTCTCGCAGCTTACTTTATATATTTTATTGCTATAACTCCAAAAAATGCACCGAAAAAAAATTGTAAGGTAAGTAACCTGTGTACATTCGCCTCCTCCCCTCAAAAATATCGGGAGAGAGACTTGTTTTAGCGGGGGGGGGGGGGGGGGGGGGGGNAAATAGGATTGAATTATATCTTTTGCAAGTAATGTACTGTTGGTATTGTACTGTTAGTATTATGTAGCAGCTGATGTATTTGATTGTAATGTCAAAAAAACATTGTAAGAGGTTATATGGTAAGTTATGCCTTGTCTTTCAATATAATGTAATTAATGTAATCAGCCGACTGTCAGTAAGTGTCTATTATAAAAGTATTGTATAGTAAGCAATGTATTGGATTGTAATAATCACAATAACTGGTCAGTGTTTCCGATCATTCTCGTCAAGTCGTCTCTTCTAATCGTACCAACATGGTTTCAGGAGAAAGAGAAAACAAACAGCGGTAACAAAACACAACAAATAGATTACGCATGGTATATTCAACTTGACGTTTCGTATGTTACAACACACATCTTTAGAAGTGACGGTTACAAAATATGACAAAATTTAAAAAGACTGAACCTAAAGCGAGGTATTGGTAACTAGCTAGATAACAATGAACAAAATAAACTACATCTGGTGTTGCTTTAATTGTCCACACGTTAATTGCTATTAATATGCATTAGCCACACGTACACATTGTGTGCGACCTATCATTTGAGTTCCATTAGCAGGAGTGAAACACATAAACATCAGCTAATCGATTAGACGCTTTATCCACTCACCTTCAGTCATAACAGGTTTGTGTTAAAACAGCTTTGGCAAGCATTTCAATCGCTTTAAAAGTACTGCCTCAAAAGGAGTGACATGTTTTGTTTCTCTGTCTCGGTTATGTTTCCAACTAGTTTTCAACAACGGTTGTGGTTTTCGCGGCATATATGTCGGACCTGCCAAGACACTGAAAAATGAAGAGAACCGATAGTTTTAATTACAAATTCGGAGATTGTAAGTATAGAACTGAATACTACTATGAGCGCGACGCCGACGAAAAAACGGAACATTGTTCGTAATTCAAAATATTGTTAGTATTTTCTTATCCCTTAATTCTGAAATTGATAATATTTATACTTTAATTTTCAGAGCAGTGATATCATAGTTATTAATGAATTGTTGAATAATATCGTCAATGACAAGGCACAAATTAACGCCATGCATGTTTAATCTTCAAAGGCTTTTTTCATCATTTGAACACCAACAAACAAAATGAATTTGTTGGTAAAACGTGGAGAAATTAAAATTGGATTCAAGTGTATCAGGGGATTTCTAATTTTGAATGCTTAAAATACGCCGGCGCCGTTTATTCTTGCGGCAACAATGAATTCTCATATTATCACAGCACAATTCAAAAGGCAGTGAATTCCCTGTCAGTTACTGACTGTTGTCTTTGATGATCAACTATTTTCAGGAAATAAATGCATTTATCGTACAGAGTTCAAAAGGATGTTTTCATTGCACTCAGGCTTCGCTAAAAGTGTTCGGATATACACTTGGGCAAATTAGTACTACCAAAGTCAACCAAAACATTTTACGAGGTACTTCGCGAGCGAATTTTCAGACGCCGGCGCAGAAAACTAACACGGTACTTGTGCAATGCTGACTGTGGAAAATGTTTGCAGTATTATGACGAGAAAAAAACATTGATAATATTCCCAAGAAAATAGTATGCAAATTTTGTTTATCGTTATGGTAACTGTTCTGCCCAGAGAGTGAAGAGAAGGCGAGATTCTGGCGGGCGTTTACATTAAGCCGTGCGTTTATCTTGAGGGTCTGTAAAGAGGAACTTTCAAGCAAGGAGCTGATTAAGGTAGCGTATGTATGTCGAGCTTCATTCTAGGAAAGCAGTGGTGCAATATCTATCTGCATTAAGAATACAAAGACTCCCTGGCTATCATGTTGTGCTGTAGCAGCGACAGGGAAAAGCGAATTCATGCGCTGCACGATACAGAATAGCTATCTTTTGTACAAAAATCACTTACAAGTACGACATGACCATAGCTGGGTCATAATCACAAAGAACAGGCAAAACTGAATTTTAGTTAAAGAAGTCAGCATTTCCACTCAACGAAGTTTCTTTACTTCGAGCTAAACGCTAAGAGAGCAAAAACCGAATTTGCTGTCAAATAAAATACATCTAGTTTGCGCATTGGGATGAGTATCATGCCGCTAAGAACGTCGTATGAATCAGGCGATAATTAGACGGACTTTGCCGAACTCCACGCCGTTTGTTTGAGAAACCATTTTCCATCTGCCTGTTTAAACGCAACACAAAATTTCCCAAAATGAATTTATAACCTTAATATATGTAAGAACAACAACACCCGATTACAACGGAAATCCCCTGAATAGTTATCGTTGCTTTCATTTTCGGTTTTGATATAGCAACTGGATGACTTCCACCCCCGGGCTTCCACCACAAATTAAAAGGGAAGCCATATTGGTTTTCACTAACAAGTTTTTGTTCTTTGAGAAAAGACTTTTTTCAAGCGTTTCTTATTGTGTGCATCACAGCGGGAAAGGAACTCTGTCAGCCAGATAACCACTTTTCCATATGCTTTTCAAATGCGTTTTTTTGTCTTTTATGGCTTAATTCCCATAAGTTAGTTTGTCATTTACATGTCAAGAAAGACATTGATAGATGAATATTTACTGTTTCGGCTCTACCCTTGCCAACTTTAGCACGGCATTTCTTTCCTCGATATCCTGTACATGTAATAGCATTATGATGAGAACATTGTAGAAAACGCACTTTCACATATTTTCTAGAAAACCAGATAACAGCAAGTAGTAACAAATTGTCACGTTTAGCCTGAATAGCGAAGATATCGGTGACATCGTCTATTGTTATTTATGTTCCATCTAGAGAATTATTGCCTGCTGAAACAAAGACAAAGACTTTTTTGTTTTTGTTTCATTCCATGGAAATTTAAATGAAAGAAATATTGTTTATAAACAAACATCTTCCCACAGCAATATGGACAGCCTGAACAACGCCTTCGGTTAGCAAAACATTGCACTGACTGTACAATGGTTAGCTGCCAATAATTGGAAGGGTTACATGGTGTAACCCTCAAAATTACTGAGAGCTAGCCGCAGTGGAGTCAGTATATTTAGGCAAGCCGACGCGCCGTTTATGATAACCATCTGCTTACATATTAATTCATCTTCAATGTAAATTTTACAGAAATGAAAGTTGTTGATTGTCAGGAGGTTTGGCTGAAGTTATCAGCTGCCAGGTTCGTACAAGCGTAAGCGTGTTCCTGACAACTGATTCCGAAAACTTCTTCTAAACCTTTCAGTAAGGCTTTATTATTTTACTGTTGTAATACTTTATTCTGACGTGCGAGTGTTTCTTTGTTGAATTTTACTTTGATGCACATAATGTTTATTCCAATAACATCACAGAAACAATATTTGGATGTTTGTTATGTCTTGGCCAAGTCGAAATGTTCAATGAGAATTTTTCATTTGAATCCAAACGTGTAGCTAAAGTGATTCTTTATAACGGAGGGTGAGAGCTCTATTTTTTGTTCCTATTGAGGACCAAAATGTCTCAGTTGTAATTGAAGTTTGTTTATCAGTTATTCGTACATTATATCATGTGTAACATGAATGTTGTGTTTAAAAACAGATTTGATGTTCATAGTTACACCTAGGCTAACCAGTTTCACAAGTGTCCTATCATATAAGACATTTTAAATATCCTTTCCCTTTTTGGGGTAAATGATTTTATTTGCTCGCGGTATAAGTTTTGCATCGTGCTTTGTCACTTATTCTTCAAATTAACGAAATCGCTTAATGATTCCCTTATTTCCGTACGTTGAGAAAATTAAGTACCTGGGGCCTGTTTCTCGAAGGTCCCGAAAAGTTTTCGCACCCGGAAAGTCGTAGCAAAATCTCAACCCTTATGATTACAGAGTTGTTTTATTCACATATTTTTAATATGAACAGAGGTTCCCTTCATACATGGAGTTTCAGGTGTATACACCTCTCGATTTTTAGATACATACTAACTAAAAATGGCTTTGCGGACCCGAAAAGTTTCCGGAACTTTCGAGAAACGGGCCCCAGAAGGTCACAGATATAACGAGTGCAAATGAGCTAGGGTATGAATTCGTAGTTAAAGTGAATAATTTGATATTCACGAATGTTTTAGCCAAGAAAGATATCAGTTAACGAACATTGTTTCAATGCTCTGCAACAATGCGGTTCATATACTTTGGTAAAGGATAATTAAAATATGGAGCCAGCTGATTTTGAAACCAGATCCTATACTGACGAGAAGTTTCTTCTTCCCGTATTTGTTTCATTCATATCTGATGCCTCATATACAAGCTGTTTTTCAGGTGGCTTACAACAGCTTCCAGTAACTCAGAGCACTTCTTCTTTGATAGATAACTCTTTTTCAGTTGACGCCACAGTAATGGCACCAAACAAATGTCCAATCCTTTGTGAACAAGTATTTTTTATCTTCTCATTACAAGTTTCAATAACAACGTTATATGTTGATAATAACACCCAAACATTCAGCTATAGAAGGTCATAAAAGGTCATAACTCATAATCGACCCCCACTTTGTACTAAGTACCGAATTTTAATCTGCATCTCAAGGTTCAATATTTTGCCAAGTTCAAAAAATAGGCACCCGAGGGGTACTCGAGTCTCATGCTCGGTAGCATAAAGATTGTTGCGTTGCACAGCAGTTGAAAGTTTTCTGAACTTTCAGTTGAAGATGTAAGGCGCAGTGGAAGGTTCATACGTATCCTTTTGATCTTTGTGAACAACCACTTGGCCCTGAATTCATTATGATCATTCTACATCTAGATCCACACCTTGCAAAATTATATTTTGACCACTACATAAGTATTGCCTCAACTACTCCTCGCGAGAACAAAAATTGCGCTGAATTCATTCCGATGAATGTAAGCAATAACTTTAGTACTACTGTAACGAAACATATTAAGGTACGGTAACATGCCAAGACTTCGCCCAGTTTAAGACTAAACTAGAAGTAATCACAGCTCATTGAGTGAGTTCGAGTTAATCCTGCCGAAGGGGAGGAGGATGCAAATTTAAATGACTGTCGATGTCGATGCAAAGCAGGGTCGTTCCCACGGCAGAAAGAAATGGATCGTCGGTAACGGCAACGACAGAACCAAATTGTGTTTATTTATTTAACTACGCAGATTACATAGTTTACAGCACTCAGCGGCTGTCAAAAAAGGTCAGACTTCTTTGGTTCAACGGTCAACGAAGACGGCTCACATTGTGCAAATTATTGGGTTTTTTTTCGCCACGAGCTTCACTCAAATATTGCAACCAGCCATTCAGCAGGGTAGCAGATCCTAAGAAAATAGCCCGCGTTCGGTGCATTCTACTGAACCTAGAAACAGCACACATTTCCTTCAGACTTTGGTAAATCTGTGAGAAGTCATTTGCTTAACAAGCCGACGAACCGATGGAACGACGAAGCAACACTCGCTCATCGGAACGACGAACAACTTTATACAGTACGAACATAAACAAAGTATAGTACCGAGGAATGAGTGACGCGACTGGAAAAGTATATCACTCGCAAGGTGCGCAATAGCACATGAGCACCATCTTGCCCAAATGATGTTTTGACCACATATGTAAATATCACCATATGTTCGGACTGTTGATTGGATTACGATCGTCGTACGGAGTCCAGTCTTGCCAATGGCCATTGATTACCACAGTAACCAAATGTCATCGACTCCGAGGTGGTCCCTTGGGATTGCAAACAGCTTTTCAATGATACTTGCATACACAGATTAACCTGAAAAATGTGTAGGAGTAGATTCAGAACTAACCGCCTTCGAATTGTAATTCGTATAACAAGTTTGAACACGACATTTTGCTCAGTGTAAAAAAATTCGAAAGACATCTCTACTTTTGATATTCAAATTCTCGACATCCATTTTCCATTTTCGTAGACAGTAGATTTTTCTTAGATATATTGCCAATTTTCAACGTATTACGAACATTAGAGCTCACGTTTCTTGGACCTTTATTTCCGAGAATTTGCTAAAAAATACTTTCTCAAAAAATATTTTCTCAATAATACCACACGGGTTGACATTATAATAACAATTAGTATAGAAAATTGCACGAATATAAGAGCCAAAGTTTTTGTTATTCTTTATGCGAATTGCAGTACTAATTGTTATTATAATTTCAACCCGTGTGGTATTTTTGACAAAGTGACGTCATTTACTCACATTCTCAACCAAGACTTGGAATAAGGAAAATTAATGGCGGCCTTAAATTCTCGGGAATAAAGGTCCAAAGAAAAGTGAGTTATAACGTTCGTAATAGATTGAAATTTGGCAAGCTAGCTATCTAGGAAAGACCTATCGTGTACGAAAATGTAAAAAAAAAAAATGGATATTGAGAATTTGATCATAGGGGCACTTTAAACTTATCAAAATTGAAGGTGGCTTGCGAATGTTTTAAACTTAGCAAAATGTTGTGTTTAAACTTTTTATACGAGTTACAATTCGATAATAAATCACGACTTTTTTAGCCAACTCATTATATTTGTTTGATTTTGTTTGAACACGTTATTATTGCATAATCCTTAGTGCCTTGATAATTAAATGTATTACATCAGAACGCGAAAAATACTAGTTAGCTTTTTGCGTATACCTATTATCAAAGTATTTTATAACCACAAATTATGTTAAAACGAAAAATCCGGGAAAATCCCCCTCTATTGAAGACGAAATTAATTCACATTTGCTCAAACTTTATGACAGTGTATGACAGATTACTACACTTCCTTTG